ACATACCTTTTATTTCATTAAACATTAAGGGTAAGTTGAAAGATGATAGAGAGTTATAACAGCTAGCAGCTAGCTCCTCCATAATGACAACAATAAAAAAATTAATTTCACTACGTTTAGTGAAATTATTAAGTATAGCACTTATTAGTGCATTTATCACGACACACGATTGCGTATCGTAACAGACTTATTAAGAACGCAAAGTAGAAAAAATAATTTTAGAGTATGTCCTCAAAAAACCCTACAACTTTGGTATGTGACTTCTTTTCTATTTCTAATAATTAATGAGGTATCGAGGAACGCGCGTTTAGTGACTCAGACTGTATAAAAATCAAATTCTAACACAAGTGGAAGCGGAATGATAAAATTTTATCATACATTGTGTAAGATTCATGTATTAAGTTCTTCGGAAATCGAGAGATCTTTGAAAACTGACATCACCGCGGCGAAATATACCATATAAAATGTACTACTTCCATGTTTCTTCCACTTTTCATGAAGCCTGGAATATAAAGCAATAGGTTTTCCGTTTTCGTCTATCTGTATGTCGTCTTCCGTCTGTTTGTTGTTTTCGAAACTATGTAACGAAGCGAATTTTCGCAGGTCAAAAACCGGGACGCGTACCGAGAAAATTGGGGGCGAATCCGCGATAGCCGCGCCGACTTGGCCGAAAAGGGAGATTCCTTCAAGGGTTTGGAAGTTCTGCCCAAGTGCCGTGGCCGTTGGAGTTGGAGTTTGTGACGAGTGCAGTGCCTTTGTAAGTACCGTTTGGGTTTTCTGCCTCTTTATCGGTCATCGCAAAAGGCCGAAACCGTTGGGCACGAGTCGTGTTTCGCCGACGCGTTCCCCTATCGGGTTACCGTACCGTCTCCGCGCCGAACGACCGTACCGGCCGTTTTATTCTTTTTTTTTATTTGGTAAAGTTTTTTTTTATAAATATTTAACATTATTGTAGCCGTGCAGCTGGTGGCAGGGAATAAAAACCCGATTATTGTTAATTTTCCTACTTTTTTTTTAATTTCTTGTTTCCGCGAGTGTTCAAACCACCTGGAGATTCGTGTCTCCGGCTTTAGAGCACCCCCGGTGCTCCCTCCCCGGAAAGGGAGCTGGCGCCCGGGCACCGCTGCTCCCGACTTAAGGCGCCACCTCCAGTGGCGTGAAGGTGTCCGCATAAGTTTAGGTGGGCTAGATGTCTTACTTTCTCAGCGGCTCTAGTCGGCCCGAGGCTTGGCACCGAGGCACGCCGCCCCCACGAGTTATCGGCGAAATTCCGAACCGCCATCATCCGTCACCGGAATTTCGTCGTACTACTTCACTGATTCTTGTCATATTTTAAATATCGCATAGATGATAAAACGCTAACCAAAGTGTGCCAAATTATCCCCACCAACAACCTCATGACGTTATCTCAAAATTTTGAATAGTACGACATACAAGCGTGGTTTATGAATCCATTTTCATTTGTTGCCGTAGACAACTAATTATATTGCATTGTACAATTTGACTGTGAAACTGAAAAGCTGGAAGGTCTAAAATCTTGCAAACGTTTTAAGGTTAAGTTATTCGTTTAACTCTCAAATTGATGACTTCATATTTTGCCCAATAAATCCTATCTAAAATGTATAAAATATTATGAATCTATTCATCAAAGTACCAATATTAATAGAACTGCCGGTGGCAAGAAGAAAACTATTGAGTGAGGAAATTTGTTTTATTGATCAAGTCAAGAACGGCTCACTCCATTTCGCCAAAAATTTGGGAATACAGTAGCTACCATAATTACTAGTATTACTTACAACAATCTAAATTGATATAAATATTCTTTCTAAAATTTTGATGACGTCATTACAAAATTTGTAAAATAATAAAACTCTACATTTACTTTAACACTATACACATATATGTTTATTTCAGCTTATCCGGCTTTTCAAAAAATGTATTAAGAAAACTGGATATGTTGTACTGTTCTTTAGGAGAGAGATAAGTTCTGTGTAAATAACCTTAAACCAATTTTGCTCATTATTAATAATATCCTGTTAGATTCGTCTTTCCATTGGTGCACTATCTGAATGTCCCTTTTCACCATTTTGTCTAAAATTTTGTCAATTTCATTCTACACTTAGATCTGGGAATTATGGTCACGTTTCTCATGATTGCTACGATAATTACAACTTACTATCATCATCTATTTGAGGTATTATGTTGATTCTTCAAATATTGGGACTAATTGTGTTGGTATATTTTATCCTTTTACAGGATTATATTTGCAACAAATCTCATTTAGAAAATTTCTTTGCAGGGATAAACTGATGACATAGTTTAGGCAGTTAAAGCCTCCTTCTCTGGATAAGTAGCTGCAAAGTTGCTTGGCATGATTGTGTTAAATTCGAAATCGCTTTAACAAGCTGGCCTGGAATTAGACTTGTTACCAGTTATGCATAATAATAGTAACACTAATAGCAATAGCATTAATAACATTTAAAAATGATCTGCAGTTATTTCGATGCACTTCCTTCAGCCTGGAGATATAATTAATTATGCATGCATATTAGAGCATACAGTTTAGTAATTAAAGGTTTATTTATTATTTTTTCACAGTATAGTAGTATAGGTACTACGAAACTAAGTGGGCCCTTTAAAAAATGACAAAATAAGGAAGACGAACCTTGACTTTTTACTTGCAAGTCAAACGGGCTAATAGAGACCGTACGTTTACAGATAAGCACAGTGAGTCATCTTCATCTGACAAGTAGAATCCCACCACTGGCGGAACTTACTTTCACACGTCAAATTATAATCACAGTAGTTCTGAAAAGAACTGTTTTCTAAATCGCAACTTATAGCAGAAGAACATAACACAAAAATATAAACACAAGTGAATACTACGAAAAACATTTAACGAATGACGTGTTGACAACGAGTTATCTACTTAAATTTAAAAATAGACTTGGCCTGACTCATTTTCGTTTGCTGCGCAAGTTTATGGGTGTGCTTATCTGAAAATGCACACACTCTACTTAAAAGTAATTCATTTTGCAGAATTCTAACATAATAAAACCATATTAACCAAGTGAATTTTAATCGATTCTGTATGTAATCATTATTAAATCATCCTAATCGTGGAGTATAGGATAAGCGTCTGGCGCACCGACCCGAAGTCCCGAGTTCGATTCGATTATTAAATCAGTATTAGTTAATTACCAAAATTAAATAAAAAAAAGAACGTTTTGATGGCAGTTCTAAGTCAGAATATCCATATGACATCATTAAATTTTTGTTGGCGGATGAAAAAACATTTTTTTTGTATACGGTCCCCAAAACAGCTATTTTACGAACTCAAAAGTGTCCGTAAAATGAGTCTTTTTAGGACTCAACCCCAAAAAGTTACCGTGGCAATTATTTGCTTTGGTCAATCAGGTTACTATGGTGGCAACCCAGTATGTATTTTGCAAAAATATTTGCTTTGGTCACATTAGTCGTCGCCTCGTCCGGAAACAGCAAAAAATTAAAATAACTATTTTTTTCCATTTTACCATGTACATGATATTTTTAAGGTACAATAAAAATTTCACAATATTTTCCCAGTATTTTTTTTTCACAGAATATCTGTTTCATGAAATCGTCAACAAACAAACGGACCGAACCAGGAGGCTTACTTTAGTTAATATCTAATCATTCCAATTCTAACTAAATTCAGTATGATTATTATAAAGGACTGTATACGTCATTTCAAAACCCATGCACTTTCGGAAAATTGTTTTAGTGTAGTCCATTCAAGCAGTTTCATATATATTTCCCATCAAAATTTTTATAAAATCAGTTAGTACTTTTTCGTTTCTCGCGATAAGCTACATTCTTTCTCTTTTGTTGTTAACTGATGTGTTTTTAAATGTTCTGCACGCCGCAATTAAACCTACATAATTACATGTAAAAAAGTAGAATTTGTATTTGGAGCATCATTTCTGTTGAAATACTTTAGCCATATTTCTACACGAAAATGTTCGACTTTTTGTAATTAAAAGCAAAACGAAGTATCAATAAAAGAAACTTAAAATGTATAATACAGATTTAATGTTCTGTCGTCAAAAACGAAGGGTATGCAAAAATATTAACTTAATGAAGTAATTATGAAAATATGATTTATTAAACCTGGAATCACAGAAAAAGTTTCCGTTCATTGGACATGCCATTACTATTGCGCAAGATGGGTGTTTCAATTAAAACAAATGTTTTACTTATATGCGACAATAGTATTATTTTTTTCCAAACGGCTTTTCATACGCTCTCACTTTTTGTGCGAAAAAAAAGAAATTTTTATTTTAAGACGTGATTCGTCATATTTATCGCACAGTCTGACAAACAGTCGCGATTTATCTTTTGGCTTGATGCATGCGATGTGTATAAACTATACTACAATTTATGTAGAACACTAAAACTAAGCATTGCCTATAATATAGATATTATTTTAAATAACGACGAAATGTATCCTCAACCTACATAAATTTAGACGAATCGTATTAAATATTGTACTTATGCTAAGAACGTTGCGTGTATTGTTCCGTGAAACACTCGGTAGTTCCCATACTGAGTCTAGTGTACTGCTCCATAATTCAAGATAGCTATTAGTCATATCGATCCAGCAGCTACTAATTCCTTTTGTGTAAGAGAAATAACGAATTCATTAAACTTGTGTCTTCAAATTATCATAATTAAATAAAAATCTTTAAGCGAAATTAAAGTCGTAACAACTTTGTGCTGTAACGAATATGAATATAATAAAATTTGATACTCTGTATATAAATAACATTATATAGCTCCTGAAATGGTGATTTATCGGACATCACGTCTGTCTGTAATTGATTGAATAAGAAAGTTTTTAAGACACGGCTGTTTTCTCGTTTCTTTTTTATAATAAAAGTTGTGATGATTTGCTTGGCAGGAAAAGAAAAACTTAATCTTAATCTGAGGGGTTACAATGGTGAGGTAATAAAACACGAAAATGAATTAAATTCGTTTTATTGTGGAATGCACACAGAATGAAACAAAACTTTGATATAGAAATATTTGAGCAAATCATTTCAGTGTATGACCTTTATTAAAAGTGAAACAAGGTGAGAATGATGAAGTTTATTACAGATGTGACTGAGTGTTTGGGGCAGGAGTTTTGGTTTATTGCACACAATTTTAAGTTTTAACGAAGTAAACATTGTATGAGCAGAGGAGTTTTCCTTCAGTACTTTTAACAAGAGATTTCCAAATTAAAGAACAACAATGTCCGGGTTAAAAAACCGAGAGATTCTCGAGTGCACAAAATAAAACAAATATCAATCAAGAATAATTAAAAATATTAACTAGTAACAACAAGAGCAACGAGAAATAAAACCATAATACAATAATTTATACAATATAATCACAAAATTTCAGCTCGGGGCAAGATCGCGGAAAACTCTGGATCTCTCCATAGAAGTGAAATCCGTCGACGTGATGTACATAAATATCATTTACATTTTTTCCATTATTTCCCTTGTAATATCAGCGCCTTATTGCAATCCTTATTTTAAAACTATTTACACAATAAAAAAGTGGTTGACATCCGCGCTCACATTCGCGCTCTACAACAAACTTCAACATGTTAAGTACACTGAATTGAGTCCCATTAGCTACGTCGTCATAGAGTATGGCTTGAGACCGTTAATTCTCGCATAACAAAGTTCGGATAACACTATATATTTATTTCTAACAAAATTTGTACACTGCTTCGGTGGAAGTCCGACTTTCACGCGTCATATTTTACAAAAAGAGCGGGACTTGCAACCCATCACTCGTGATTATCACTGTACAAGAAGTTTCGTTGTCCATAGGAAAACCTGACTTCATTCATCATAGCCAGTGGCAGGAAACTATTCTGGAGGAGGTAGGGATGTCCCATTATCGATGTATGTTGCGGCGTCAAACCTGAAACAATTTCACCAGTATAAACGTCACATTAAAACTCCAAGTCAAACAAACGCAAAAATATGTGTTCATTTGTTAGTGACATCCAACAACCAGGACGCAGAAAAACAAAAGAAAGAAGAATTTGTAGAGAACATTCTGGTAGAGAACTAAGACACTCATAAAACTCCTTTAATTCCTTGTCTTATTTAGTTTTTAAATATGGAAAGAATATAATTTTCAAAAAATAAGTCAAACAAATAGATACATCTTGTTTACGATTTACTATGCTTAGGATAACTATAAAACGTTTCCAAGATTTCAGAGCAGTTAAATTGTAAAATATTGTTCCATACAGCTATTGTAAACCTGATACCTGATATAATAAAATAAGTACATAGTTTACAGCAAAACCTGTACGTTCTTCACGCTACTTCAGAAGTCTTATTAGTCTTCAAAATTTTCAAAGCTGACATTATTTTAATGTTCTCAAAGGACAATTTTAAACGTCTACATTTTTTGAAATGAAAACTTCCTTAGGCGCATCTTGCACACAATTTTAAAATGAAAACGTTTGATCCGTCAGGCTTCGGGATGAAACGCTCATTCGAGCAAACTCGGGTTGAGAACCGAGGGAACCAGGGTAAGGCAGCTGTGCATTGCTGCACTGGTGTTCCTCGGTCGTTTTCTTCAGGCCGAATTTAATAATTCTGTCATGTGGCCTTAACTAAACCACAGTAAATTTAAATAGGTTGAATTTAAAACTCCCTTAATTTGTCTCCGATCGAATGGGTAACTATCGAGTGCACGGTCGAATTTAATCATTCACAATCATATGTCTATAACAAATCTGTTGGAGAAATTTGTGTAGCGGAAAACGGACAAATAATTATAATGGTTGCCATTTACCTCTCACCTAATCCAAGTATAAATAAAATCATGAATTCATCCATGGAAATCTGCCACTATACAACAACAGGTTAGGGTGAACACTGCTCAATCTGTACTTACATCAATTACGGATAATTTTGACTGACGATTTCAATGTGGAGTTCCCAAAAGAAAAATCAAAACCTTTAATTGATTTTTAAAAACACATTGCAAATACATATGTCGAATAATTCAAATGAATTGATCTCCAGTTTCCGTCCATGCGTGCGTCCGTATGTCTGTCTGTCCGCCGTCTGTCCTAAACTAACGGACCAATTGTCAAATTTTATATGTATGTTAGGAGTATCATGTAGATGATTATCCACACCAACGATGATCTGACGTCATCTTCAATTTTTACAATAATAAATGCTATTTAAATTTTATAAAATAACTTAATTATCCATTTGTACTCAAAGTTGTATACCTAACAACATTTTACAATGGAGTCTAACAAACGTTTTACTGTTATCGTAAGCATAGTAAATGGTTAATCAAAATTTATCCGTTTTGATAAAATATGCACAATATTAAAATTAAGTCCATACTTGCGGTTTATCAATGCACTGATATTATTTTTTTGAATTGCTTATACCAGGCGACTCAAAAAAATTAATGAATGTTTTATTTCCCATCCCATTTGCTTCAAAATTTGAGAATACGGTGTTGTTATTAACAGTATTACACTGCACTTATTCAAATTGATTTACGTGTCCTTGCCAAAATGTTGACGTCATTAAAAAAAATTTATATGGAAACCTCCTAGAAACATAAGCATGCGATGCTTTTTTTTCCTGTACTTTAATAATCCACGCATAAAAATTAATATATGCAACATAGGGGTTATCATAAAAAAATTCTCAAAGTTAAATTTCATAATTTTTCGAACCTACATTTGTTCGACTGTACTTTAGCGACGAGGAAAGTTCTATCGAAATAACGTTCCTTATATTATATTACTTAGAATTACGATCGCAACTTTGGCCGTCCGGCCTTAAGCATGCTCGCTTTTTTTCATGTTAAATTCTATCTGTATTCACAATATTTATACCACGACAGTTCGAAAACTTAGCAATCTACAAAAAATTATTTGATACATTGGAAGAAATCTTTTATATGAATCGAAAAATATCTCCGACTCAGAATTACAGGAAGTGTGAAACTAAAGAATGCAAAAAAGACAAGTCTAATATACGTACGTATATCCAAGTGACCCCCAGTCTGGGATTATTTCAGTATCTCTGACAAATGGTTTAAACGTCATCACCGTATTATCAAAATCACGTTCACTTAACTTATCCATTCAAAGTTTCTCATTTTGCATTAAAAATTATCTTCATGAATATGCAATGTGTAGAGATGTAATTCTTTTTCTCCAACAGCAACAGCCATGAGATATAGACTTAACACATTACAGTGTTTAGTATTTAAAGTAAGCTTCACTCATTATAAAATCATTTGCACTTAAAGGAGTCCATTATTACGTTCATAATTTCTTAACTGACTCCAAATTCATACGAAGTCCACCAACATGATGCAGTAGAATTTTTTTGAGTCATATCTGTCACTTCTACGCATATAAATTTTATTTATATACGTATATTATATATTAGTCACATATGTTTGGTCTATATGATTTACAATGTTGTGATAGAATTAATTAACCATAATGCTGGAGCTGATAATGCCACGAAAAAATCTTAAATCATTTTGAAAAATAGGGGCAAAAATTTTAATAGAAAAATGCACACTTCAACTGTTATTAGGAGTGTATTGAAAGTTAGTCTTTGATTTTCAATTTAAATTTTCAAATTGATCGCAATTTGGAAAGGCAAAAAAGATGTTGAGAGCTAGGTATAAAAATGTCCTAACGGACAAAAGGAAAGATTTTTCTGCCGATTCGGATCGCTGATTATGTAAAATAATAGATCTCAAAGAAAACCAGACGTTGCGTAAAATTTATTTTTCCTAAAACTTGCCTAAAGCACCCATTTTGCCATTTTTTGGGTCTAAATCCCCGTCTTATTGTCTATTTTAGGGCCTATTTTAGCTTTTTTTTAGCCTAAAATCCGCTCTTTAATGATAATTTCGTTTCAAGAAAAAATACTAACCCAAAACGAGTAATAATTTTTGTAAAATTTGTTTTCATTCGTCACACGTTCTATCGTGGCGGAAAGCAGGCAGTAAGATTTTGTGTCGGTAAAGCATATTAGTCATCGCGGGGCTGTTTAGATGAATAAACTGAGATAATTCGGTATCGCGGTCGCAAGCGCCCAGAGCGCCTATGTAAATTCATTAACGAAATTAATTTATTCGTCTGTTATTAGAGGGCAGCATAATGGCTTGGTGTTCGTACTAGTCTAGTCTTGTGTAGAAAGCAACGCCTACCTAGATAGCAGCGCAAAGTGAGTTGTGTACTCAGCACAAAGTAATCTAAATTAATGCGTAGTGATTCTAGTCAGTTTGTGCACGATATCGACACTTTTAGTACCTAATGGAAAGTAAACATCGTTGAGAATCCGAATTGAAATTGTTTCGGCCTCTGCCTCTTACCCATTCTTGCACCCCGAGCGGGTATTATCTTTGCAATTGTTTCTACTTGACATTAACAACGCTGCGAAATTGCTAATGAATGTTTGTAGAAACAAAGATATATGTATAATTTTAGCGGAATTAGCTAATATTAACCCTTTGTGTCATATCAGCTTAATTTATAATTAATTTCCCTTTTAACAAATTACACAGGACGACGTTCCTTAATGAAATGATAACAAGACAAAACACTTGATATAATTATATAAAAATACCCATATTTAGCAGCGGACGGGCACGTGTGTGCACCAAACCCACCATCGCCGAGTTAATTAATTCCAGAAAAATGTCGTCCCTCCTTCAATAACGGGAAAAGCCGTCCATAAGCTCAACGAAGCACCCACATTAAAGAAGAAAAAAAACGGATGGTCCATAAATACAAACGCGATTATCATAAAGTGGTACAATATCAATTTCGCAGAGAAGGACTTTTTAATCTCGTTCGGATCCAATTTCATTTTTCAGAAACGGTTCGTCTGCTGTTTTCCGTTAATTGAAATTCGATGTGGTTCAATTTACAAATTACGATTAGGTAGTTGGAGGCATTTACATTAACAGTAATCAATAATGTATGTTCAGAATGCATTAATTCATTTCCCAACATACAGGAAACAATTTCTTTCGCTGGGAACAAGATGAGGGGGAGGGCAGGAAGTCGGGACAGGGAAGAGCGAGGGTTCAATCTCGCTAATGGGCAATGAGGGCCACTGACAACCTCACATGGGTTCATCAGGATTATATCAATAAAAACTTCCAATGCCATTCACTTCGGCGTCTTATTCAAGCATCCAGCCATTTCCCAAAGTGCACCGCTTATAAACCGAACTCTTCGAACGACATTATTTAGCAAATATTTTTTAGGTTTTATTGAGATTAATGAGTCTTCAAATTATTAATGAGTCAATGTAACTCCTCTGTTCCGATATTAATGATTAAGGTCTGAATTTTTCGCAAAACGGACTATTTTCATTCATATTTTCAGGCACGTTAACCAAACTTGCTATAAATGATTTTTGAGTGAAATAGAGTTAGCATGAACATTATTTTTAGGGTTAAACTGCCTAACACATATGTTAAGTGCGCATTTCGCCTTCTAAGCGCCTACACATAAATACTTAAAACTATGAATATCAGAATTTGTTGTTATTTTTTTGTTGCGCAACGACTTTTAGACATATTTGGTTATGTACAGAGACTGCGACTGGTTGTTGGTACAATAAAGATGGGCAAACTTCTTGGAAAACCCTACTAAACAGACGGTATGTGATCTTCTTCTTGACCGAAAAAATTCGGCATAAATATGAAAAACGTAGATGTTTTGATATCTCATGCTAAAAATTTTGTACCAAACCTCTTTTAAGGGTGGAAGTTTATAAGGGAAAGTCAAAAATTTTACCTCAACCTGTTTAAAAAAAAGTGAGTAAACTATATTCAACCTGTAATTAATTATTATTATTTTTTTAGGTTATTATGTCATTTGACAGAAGTTCGTCACAAGC